GAATGATTAGTGTAATATTATGTTTTTTTAATATAAATTTATTCTTCATTTTGCATTATTTTTTCTTGGTAAACTGTTTGATCGAATTGACGAGGCGCCGAAAAAACAAGTGTGCTGATCTCTTGGCACCAAAAAAACAATCTATCATATATTTATTTTTTATACAATTGAATTTTCCTTTAAGAAATTGAAGAAAAATTAACTAACTTTAATTAAAGTACTCAAATGACATACACTTAAGAAAGTCCAGGAAAACGTGGTCGTCGAGCTGGCCACAAGTGATTTCTCAGGATTTTACTACTTGTCCGCAGCTACACAATGTGTTTTGCTTATTTATTTTCTATAACTACTCTACCAACTGTATGATCCTAAAGATCATAGCCTTGTACTAGTTACTTCGCATTTTCAATAGAAAAACTTTTTTCAAAAAAAAATAACATACACTTAAATATATTAAATTTTTTAAGCAAATTAATTACATAATTGAGCTTAGTAAAAAATTCGGATCTATTATAATTAGTGTAAACGGCATTGCCATCTCTGTAAAAAAATTGAATACAAAAGTTTGACTCCGTTTTTACGTAATGAATCATTGAATCCGTTGACGAAATAAATGTATATGTAATAATATGTTTACAAAAAAGTTATTTATTTGGAAAGTGCGTAATATTATGAAATAGTGATATTTGAATATAAAACGCGTTAAATTAAAAAGTCTTTTGGTCAAATACTGAATTAGAGAATAAATGAAAAATAATATTTACGTACATAGACATATAGATAATATTTTACAAACTCTAACACCATAAATTATATTTTCAAAAAAAATATATATATGTTATCTATATTTTTATGTGGAAACCAACTATTTACACGAAAATCTCTATTATACTTTAGTGCCTTATAAACAACGGAAAGTTTGAGCCAAAAAATGTTTCAGAAATACAATTATAAAAAAAAAGATCATAAGGGAAATTTGTTTTTGGACCGATACCTTTTATCTAGTATCTACTAACAATTTCACCCAAAAAAAAAGTATCTACTAACAATTTTTCCTTTCTATTTCCATCTTCATAATTATATATGCACTCTACTACATCATTCAGCTAAAGTCAGTGGCGAATCGAAACCATTTTGCAGTCACTAGTTTATCATGAAATTACTAAAATTTTCAACAAAAAAAAGTTTATCATGAAATCGTTTCTCCAAAAATGCAATTCCCATCGAGAGTCATGAGTCATCTCTGTTTTCTCTCTTGCGTCTTTATTGACTTGAAACTGCTAATTTTCTTGCTAATATTTGTGTTAATTAAAAATATTAATAAACATTTCTTGTTGTGTTAGTGGTCTCCTTCTCGACCCGGAAAATCCTCTCATCGACTAGTTTTTTCTTCCCCATAGTGATTCTACGTTTCCTCCATTGCCACCAACAAAAAATAAAAAAAAAATAGAATCAGATTAAGTCTATTTATAAAGAGGGTAATTTACTCACTAACAAAAAAATTATAATAATTAGACAACTAAAATGGGGTATGTGACATAATTATATACACTAGATTTAGATTAATTGGTTATGTTTTTAGTTATAATTTTTTTTAAAAGTTATTCCACCCAATTTTCCTTT